TCTCTATAAGTACTCTAGTCCCTCCACCTTGTACCCACTTTGGAATATATGCATTTTGAGTGAGCCTTTGTGCCTCAAAATCCTTCCTTAGTCTCCTAGGGTCCTCATGCCCAACCTCCTCTCCTCTCTACCCTAAAGAGAGTTTGAGTTTCCCTTGAGTGGCCTCCACCAACCCTTGGTGGAGAGAGCTAGCCAAGAGCACCAAAAACACCTTCCACCTTCCCACCTCCATTTTCGTCCACCTTCACCTCCACCCTTCAATATTGTTTTTCCACCACCCTTGAGGAACATCCAGCCATCATCCTTCTTCCTAGACCGTGGAGAAAGAGGGAGCTCCTCCTTGGAAGCCAAAGAACACACCATGGAAGGAAGGAGCCCATTACTTATTGGGCCTAGTTTTGGGCTTCATGGGCCTTTAGGCTTTTGGTACCCAATATTGGGCTCATTTTAATTCTTGTAATTTTTCCTTTTCATTGTATTTGCTTGGCCATTGTATTTAGGCCATTAGAATAGGAATTTAGAAGGATTAAGTAATAAAGCATGAATCATAGAATGTTAATTACATTTAGGAGTAATTTGAGTTTCATTTGGGTCACATGTTTTGTGCCAAAGGTGGCTGCACATGTGTACATTCAAATGAACCCTAAATTACCTCTAAATGCAATTAATAATCTAGAAGGAATGGCTGCACATGGTTTAGGATAGTTGGACGTCCAATTTGAATTCAAATTGGCGCCATTTGTTAGTGCACATGGGTGCACTAGTACATAATACACATTTTACGTCGGTCATTTTAGGGGTTTTTACGTCAGAAAAACTTCCAACGTAGAAGCGGGAGACGTAAATTTACGTCGGGACACGAAAACCGACGTAAATTTACGTCGGACATGCCTAGGTCCGACGTAAAAAAGTTATAAAAATTTTATAAAATTTTTTTTGAGTGCAAGCAGAACGGGTCGTTCTGCTTGATAGACCCAGGACTGCGTCTCCAAACCCAGACTTGGTCACTTCTCCAGCTTCAAAAACTTGCGCGAAATGCAACAGAAACATTATTACGAAAAAAAACATCCCAGAAAACACAAACTTGATAGAAGATACTACCTCATAGAAGAAAAACGCAACTCTTCGAAGAAGAAAAACGCAACCCTCCGAAGAAGAAAAACGCAACCCTCCGAAGAAGAAAAACATCATCACGCGAAGAAAAACAGCCACGATTTGAGGAGGAGGCGGAGGGATGAGGAAGAAAAACATAGCAGAAAGTGGACGATTTGAGGAGGAGGCGATCTCGGCCAAGCGAGGGAGGAACCGGGAGAGCGAGGTGAGTCAGCCTGCTAACTTTTGAACTTCTTTCAAAGTGTCTGGGCTTCTCATATCCAAGATGGCTTGGCATTTGTCAGGGTTTGCCTCGATGCCCCGATTGGACAACATAAATCCCAAAATTTTACTGCCCGAGACCCCAAACACACATTTCTCGGGGTTGAGCCTCATTTGGTGTTGTCGAAGGGCTTGGAACACCTCGGCCAAGTCACGTACGTGTGTGGATACGTCACTTGACTTTACTACCATATCATCGACGTATACTTCCATGCTTCGGCCAATTTGGTCATTCAAAATTTTATTCATCAAACGCTGATAAGTGGCTCCAGCGTTCTTCAACCCGAACGGCATTACCCGGTAAAAATAGTTGGTCGTTTCGGTAATGAATGCCGTCTTCTCTTCGTCTTGGGGGTGCATACGGATCTGGTTGTACCCAGAGTATGCATCAAGGAAAGACAAGAATTTGTGGCCGGACGCCCCATCAACAAGTCGGTCAATATTCGGCAATGGGTAAGCGTCTTTCGGACAGGCTTTGTTCAGACTCGTGTAATTGGTACACATACGCCATTTCCCATTCGGCTTCTTGACCATGACGACGTTGGCCAGCCATGTTGTATAGTGGACCTCTCGGATGAACCGAGCATCCAATAACTTGCGCACTTCAGTTTCATTTGCTGTTTTCCTCTCTTCCCCGGCCTTCCGGCGTCGTTGTGCGATCGGCCTTGCTTCTTTACTGATTGACAGCTTGTGGCAAAGGAAATTTGGATCGATGCCAGGCATGTCGGAGGGGTTCCATGCAAACAAGTCTTTGTTGTCAAGAACTACTTGTCCGATAGCTGACCTTTCTTGTTCAGAGAGGACGGTCCCTAAGTAAGTAAGTTAGGAGTCCGAGACTCTGACTTGGAGAGGCTGCTTGTCTTCAATGGGTTCGACTCTCTCGTCCTGATCAATCTGGGGGTCAAGGTCTATGGCCGATTGTTGTGACACCGAATGGATGCGTCTCGGTTCCTCGGGGACTTCTCTGTTCATTTTCGGTAACCGCAAGCTAGCGAAGTAGCACTCGCGTGCAGTTTTTTGATCGGCATGGATAGTGATCACTCGTCCTGTCTCATACAGGAACTTCATGGCTAGATGAGGGGTGGATACGATTGCCCCGAGCCGATTCAAGGACGTCCGACCAAGCAGAATGTTGTAAGATGTGTTGGCGTGGACTACCACATATTTAACCGAAACGTCTCGGTATTCTGCTTCCTCAAACCCAAATCGGGTCGAAAGCTTGATGTATCCTTTTGTCTTGACCCGCTCGCCCGAGAACCCAACCAAAGGGTCATCATAAGGAACTAGTTCAGATTCCGGGATGCCCAACTGCTTGAACTTGTTCCGATAAAGGATGTCGGCTGAACTCCCCTAGTCAACCAAAGTCTTTCGCACAATACAGTTGTGAATCTCCATGCTAATTACCATCGGATCGTCTTGGTCGGGGTCGATACCTTTGAAGTCCGCCTCGGTGAAGGTTATGCTAGGCAAGCGGTGACGAACTTTCTCCACTGCATGTACGTGCCGAACGGCTCGCAAATGCCTCCGTTGTGTTGACGAGGAGGAGCCACCACCCACGAACCCGCCAGCTATGGTGTTGATGACTCGCTGAGGTTGTGTTGAAGGTTCCTCTTCCCTTCGATCTCTTGACCGACTGCGTTCCCTGTATGATCGTGTTTTTATCTTCCTTTGCTCAGGCTGATCATGCCGGCGGGACCGGTCGGTGTACTGAGATGTGTTCTGTCGGTCCACAAAACCTTGTAGCTGTCCCTGTTTGATTAAATCTTCAATTTTATCCTTTAGAGCCGAGCATTCCTCTGTTGAATGTCCTCGATTGCGATGGTACCTGCAGGATTTGGTCGTATCGGCCCTGGGAGGGGTCGAGGCTCTTTTCGGGACGGCTAGCACCTCTAAGGCAAGTGCTTGCTCTAGTATGCCCGATCTACTAGTATTGAGCGGCGTATACTACGAGTACCTTGGCCCGCGAGGGGGCTTCTCGCGAGGAACCAGTTCTTTCGGACGGCTCCGAAAACTCTCGGTCGGCTTTTCAGGTTTAGCCACCACCTCCGCCCTAGCCTGGTTACGGAACTCAGCTAACTCCTTCATTTGTATGTACTTGTCGGCTCGCCGACGCAAGTCATCCATATCGGTGGGTGGTTTTTTGCAAATGTTGTTGGCAAAGGGTCCTGGTTTCAAGGCGGTGGTGAGATGGTGCAGAGCTACAGCAAGATTCAGGTCCCGAATTTCGAGCGCCGCTTTGTTGAACCGGATCATGAACCCCAGAAGGGATTCCTTTTTGTCCTGATGAATGCTGATTAATGCTAAAGAGGTCAACTAGTGGGGTCGGCTCGTAGCAAATTGGATAGTGAACTGGGAGGCTAACGTGTTGAACGAGTCGATCAAGTTAGCAGGAAGCCGAGTAAACCAGCTCAGCGCATGTCCTTTCAGTGACGTCAGGAAGATTCGGCAGAGTGTCGCGTCGTCTGTGGTGCTCAAAGTGACTTGGGTTAGGAACACGTCCACGTGCTCATCTGGATCGGTCGTCCCGTCATACTTGTCCAATGGCAAGGATTTCCAATGGTCAAGGAGTGAGGACTGCATAATGTTTGGGGTGAACGGGTGTCGGTGAGCGCCGGCCAGGACGGCATGTGCGGGTCGGCCAGGTGCCTCCATCGAAGTGTGATTGTCTGGGGCAGCGACAGAAGTGTGTGGGATGGAGGTGTGATGGCCGAGAGAGTGAAACAACCCCTGAGTGTGTGTCGTCTCAGAGGGTTTCCATGTGGGATCGCGGTAATGGTTTTTGAGGGTGGCATTCTCTTCTCGTAACGCAGCCATCTCGCGGGCATCTTTCTCCCGTTGCTGCTTCATGGCGGCCATTTCTTCTTTCATTTGGCGTACCATCTCGGTCAGGTTTGTCTCGTCTACCGTCTCGGCATTGTCTGCCCCGGACTGGTGCTCATCTTCAGACTGGTGGTCTTCAACGTTAGTTCTCCTTGTCTTTGCCATGATTCTCTTCAATGTAGTGCTCAGTCTGCCTTTGAAAAGCTATCGGTTTGACCCCACAGTGGGCGCCAAAATGTACCTGTCTGAGGGCACACTCGTAATCTTCTGTGATGAAGGGCCGAACGGGAGCTTTAGGTGGATCCTTTGAAGGGGGGAGGTACCTGCAAAAGGCACTCCGAAGCTCAAGTCATGACAAGCACGATTTTCTAGGGTAATAAATGAACAGTGACGTGCCTCGATATAAGTGACCTATTTATACTACCTCTGATGGGCCTTGTCAGTAGTGGGCCTCTTCTAAAGCTTACCAAATTAGGTATATGACGCTAATCGGCTGATTATATCTTAATCATGTGTTTGTCCTTGTTAACCGCGATCAATACCGTAATCCGTGTTGTCCCTCGACTCATTGCCGAGCCAACAGGTAAAGGCTTGGGATGCTGGACGTCTTCGGCCGTTGGCTGGGCCGACAGGTATTTGTTCGGTTACCCTACTCGGTCGGCGCTTTGCCGAGCCGATATGTAGCATATGGAGACGCATCATGGTGCTATTCTTATCGGTCTTCAGCCGAGCCGAGATTGCTAGCGGACTCTTCTCGGCCTTCGGCTGTATGCCGAGCCGATGTTAACGCCGAGATTTGTGTGGGCATGGTTGATTTCATTCCGCGTGGGTGTCTGACGGAACGGCACGTGTTGGTCCACGTGACCGATAGGATCTCCCCGGTACAAGTTCCGTAAAAAAAATAATGAAAAAATGTTGTTAATTGTCTACTCATGCAAGAGTAATGCTTAAAATATAAGATGAGATGAAAAAGTGGTTAGAATTACATTATATATTATATAAATATTATGAATAAAAAGTGTCTTACTAGAAATATTATGAAAAAGTATAAGATGAGAAATTGCATTATATATTATATAAATAAAAATAGTAAAATTACATTATTCATAAATAAGACCCTCGTATTAAACTAATGACGTATAATTCAATATATATAAAAAAAAAAATCATCTTAACCAACCTATGTAGTTGGTACAAACTTATACTTGTGAAGAGATGTGAAGAATTTTTTTTACATCTTTTATGTTAATAATATATTAACTTTTATGTTAATAATGTATTAAGAAACTGTAAAAATTAAAACAAAAAAAATACATAATAAGAATAGAGAAATAAAGGAAAAAAAATATAAAGAAAGAACTTTTAGGAATTTGTTTAACTTCACATCTAATTCAATTTTTATTTATCATAATTATTTATGAATTAAATTTTAATATTTTAAAATAAATTATTAATAAAAAAATATTACTATAATATAATTTATTTATTATAAATCTAAAATATAATTTATATATTTAAAAATATCTATTTATTCAAATTTTAAATAGAATTTACATATTTAAATATAATATTTATTTACATATATAATTATTTTAAATTTTAATTATATAATGATTTAATCTGTGCATTATACATGCTAAAATATTAGTATTTATATAAATAAAAATAGTAATAAAAAAAAACAGAATAGTGATTTCATAATTGATTTTATCACAAATAACACGTTAAAAGTTTAGAGTTTCAAATAATTAAAGTTTTTTATTTTATTTTAAAATTATCAAAATCAGCAAATAAACCACTTATAATAATGAATAATTAGCAAAATTTTTAAAATTGAACTAGTTATTTTAACGATCTAAATATTGATTAAAGATTTAGTAGTTAAACTATAATTAAATCATAATAAAATCGATATTAATAAAATAATTATAATTATTATTATTATTATTACTATTAAAATATTAACTAAATATAATATCATAATTTTATAACACTAAAAAATAAAAATACTATTTCTTAACATTTAATACACACATAAAAGTCTATACTAAATATAATATAATCTTTAATTTTAAATTTTACTAAAATATAGCATTTCCATGTCAATTTACATGTAGAATAAAAAGTATCAATCTAATTTAATATAATATAAATTTTAAAATTACCATAAATGATCAAATTATAATTTTATAAAAAAAAAGTATTAAAAATAATTGATAAAATAATTTATTATAACATATAATTTTTTATTAAATATGTATTTTTAATAAAAATATTTAAATTAAATTTAAAAATTAAAAATGTTTTATTTAAAAAATTAAAAAAGATTAGATTAAAATAATTTTTTAGTTCCTATAATTTATTTATTTTATCTTTTAGTCTCTATAATTTAAAATAGACATTTTTATTCCCTATACATATTTTTTAATCATTTTTAGTCCATATAATTTAAGACAGATTTTTTAGTCACTATACTAATTTTTTAATCTTTTTAGTCTCATTCATTAATTTTTTTTGTAATATTGTCTTTCTTTTGTATTGATGTGTAAAAGTATTAAGTCAATTTTGTGTGTTTGATGTGACTTTCATTATTGAAACACATTTTTTCACCCTCACAAAATTAAAAATATCTACACGTCAATACAAAAGAAATTATGACAACGTTACACAAAGAAAGTAACGACAAAAACTAAAGGATAAAAAAATTGTAAGTATACGAACTAAAAATATTTATCTTAAACTATAAGGATAAAATAGATATTTTAAACTATAGAGACTAAAAAGTAAATTAAGTAAAACTATTAAAAAAAAGTATTTTAACCCAAAAGTTAAAATAGAAATGATTCTTAACATCGGTTTTAGACTAGTTTGATGAGCTTTTGGTTAATTCTTATCAGTTCTAGTACATTTTCATTTAACTAGGTCAATTCAATTTGATTTTTAAAATAGAGCTCTCACTAGGTTCTACCCAACACAAGGGTGTCTTACACCTTCTACATGAAGGACTTTTTAAGGTGTCATCCCAATATTGGAATGGTAGCTATTATTGTATGTGAATTCAATTAAAGGTAGGAAACTATCCTAACCACCCCATGATCTAAGACACAAGCTCTAAGTAAATCTTTTAAAGATTGGATAGTCCTTTGGGTTTAGCTATCTGTTTGGGGACGGTAGGCTGAACTTAACCTAAGGTTAGTTCCAAAAGCCTTATGCAAGTTGTCCCAAAATCTAGAGGTAAGTTTAAGGTCTCTATTAGAAACTATGCCAGATAGTATCCCATGAAGCATTACAATCTCACCTATGTATAACTTAGTCAACTTATCTAAAAGATATATAATATTAATTCAAATAAAGTGAATAGACATAGTGAGTCTATCCACTATCACCTAAATGGAATTCATATTCCTTATAGCTCTAAGCAACTCAACCACAAAGTCCATAGGGTTGAAGCGTTAATGATGGTTTCTGGTGTTTTACCTTAGACTTTTGATAAACTAGGCACTTTAAAACAAACTCCTTTACCTCTCTCTTCATCTTAGCCAACCAAAATATTTTCTTAAGGTCTTGGTACATCTTAGTGGCTCTTGGATGGACTCTAAAGTTACTCTTATGTATTTCTTCTAAAATCATTTTCTTAAGCTCTAGAATGCAAGGTACACATACCTTATGCTTAAGTCTCAATAATCCATCTACACTCACTCCAAAATCATTATCCTTATCTAACTTCAACTTCTCCACTTAAGCTTATAGGAATGGATTTATCTTTTGGCCCTTTTCTAATCTCATCCACTGAACTATCAATCACTCTTAAGGTTCCTAACTTAACACTATTAAGAGTCAACTCACACACCAAACTAAGGTCTTTAAGTTCCTCCAAAAGGTCAAACTCTTTAATCATCAGTGATGATATCTGTAAGGATTTCCTACTCAAGGTGTCTGTCACAACATTGGCTTTACCTGGGTGATATTTAAGCTCAAAATCATAATCCTTGAGAAATTCTAACCACATTCTCTATCTCATCTTCAATTTATTTAATTTGGTCAAATAGGTACCTAAGCATCTTATGATCACTAAAAATCTCAAATCTCGAACCATAGAGGTAATGTCTCTCCACAATATATTTAAGTGTAAAGACTACGACTGCTAACTCTAAGTCATAGGTAGAGTAGTTCTATTCATGAGGTTTTAGTTGCCTAGATGCATAAGCTACTACCTTACCTTTCTGCATAAGCACACCTTCTAACCTCATGTTAAAGGCATCACAGTAAACTACAAAGGTCTCACTAGGGTTAGGTAACACTAGGATGGGTGCACTAGTTAACCTCCTCTTAAGCTCTTAGAAAGTTAGAAACTCTCTTCACAACTATAGTCCCACACAAAATGTTGTTTCTTCCTAGTTAACTTAGTCAAGGGTAAAACTAGCCTAGAGAAC